AAATGGGGATATGTCCACCGAGATGACGACCACCACAGCCTCAGATACTGACCTACCGTCTAAAAAAAATAAAAATACGTGTATCCAGAGAAAGCACACAAGAAAACAACCTCTTCAGCTCGGCTGATACACCAACACTGCCCAACCGTACATTCAAGAAAAAAAATAGACCATGCATGCCCATCAGCTAAGCTGATGCACCAAGACCACTTTCCATTGGTGGATTGAGAAAGTGCAGACAGGCCTATAGGCGGAGTCTTTTGCGACAGACATCCGTTAAAATTGGAACACGATACAGAGAAGATAAACATTGCTACAGATAAGATAAGCATTACCCCTGTGCAAGGATGACACACATTAAACAAAAAAAAGAAAAAAAAAACAGAGGCTCCAGGGCGAGACAGGAGGCATTCCAAGCACTAATTGGTGGAAAGTGCCCATACGGAAACCTTTTTGGTTTTGGGCACCCAAACCTTTCCCGCTTGGTAAGACGCGCCCATGGCCAACAGAGGCCGTCGGATGTAGAAATCTGGCAGCCAAGATTGGGTCCCGACCGACCACTGGGCCCCTTCCTACCGACCGGATTGTGAACCTGGCGCTGTATCTGTGCCGGATTCCTTTCCGGTAGGCCTTCTTCCCCAAACGGGAAAGGCTTGGGCACCCAAAACCAAACAGGTTTCCGCGTGGGCGCTTTCCACCAATTATCCCCATTCCACCCCCCTGTCATTGCCACGCCATGCTCCTTCTACAGAACACCTCCTCCACCCTGCTCTTCGACGTTTTGCCGACCCGGAAGGGGACCCATGTCATGCATTCCCCCTCTTCTGAAATCCGTTTAGCATCCCCCCCCCCCCCCCCCCCCCCCCCCCACAAAGAAGGACCCATGCCCAAACACAGGCTGATTGCTGACCCAACACTCCTCTGAGTCCTGATGCAACTCCACAGACCTCGTCGACAACGTTCCATCCACCCATGCTTACCTCCTCTTTCTGCAACTCTTTCACCCAAAAGAGCCATCCTTACTTAAGCACACATGTGCTCTGCTAATCACGTAATAGCACATCCAATTCGAACGTGACCCCCTTGTTCCGTAGTGTCCAACAAGATGGCAAAAGATCATGCAGCAGCTAATGCATCCCGTGCCCAAAAAATTTTGGTCTCTCCTTCTTCTTATCAGCAGCTGAGGACTTGGGAAGCGATGCTAATGCAACAGTACCAGCACTGAAGGCGAACACTGCTGCCGCCAAAAAGCCAGCCGTATTTCCCCCACCGAAGCGTTCGTCCAGTGGGCCGGATACAATGGATACCACCACCTACAAGAACGGACAAACATGCAAAACAAGAACACGAAAGCGATGTGAAATCGTCTGCATAGAGCAGAAACACTGCATGGAGTAGAAACACAATATCGCACTGCATCAGGAGAAAGCGCTGTGCAATCTTCTTCACAGAGTGGAAACGCCGCATGGAGTACTAGAAACACAATATTGCACTGCATCAGGAGAAAGCGCTGTGCAAGATTCTGCACAGAGTAGAAACGCTGCATGGAGTAGAAACACAATAGCAGAACGCAGTGTGTCTGTGTGCCAATCCCAAAGAAGCAGAAAGAGGTAGGTGCTGGCCACAAGATCGGAGGACAGGTCACACTCGCATGGGTCCTTCATCCTCCTCAAAGTCACTGTCATCATTGCTCATGTTATGCAGTGTACAAAAGGTCCAAATATGGTTGGATTGTGTCCGGGTCATCACAACCTTCAGCAGATGGTTTTTAAGTTGATGGCTCCAGACGGTACGTTTATGTTTGCGTTCAATTACTTCTTGTACTTCATATCACACCGAGGATGCCGCTATGTCTTTGTTCATGGGATATCTACTCTTTTTTT